GTATTATACGCCACTTTTCTTAAAGGTTGGGTAAGCCAATTGCAAAGTAAAAATTGCAAAAGTTAACAGTGAAACAAATTTAGCCCAAACTAAACGAGACACACGTTACTCTGCAAGTAAAACATTCAAAAAAATGCTGGAGTTTTCAAGCCTAAATGACTCAGAGACATTAAGCAGCATGATGCCTTTTTAATACCAATATTTTAGTTATTGCCATATTGAGCCAACTCATGATTATATCACAATAGAATTGCGTGAGAGAGAATTGTGTCAGGTGTTATATAGTTTACCAACTAATCCAAATTAATTGCGACTTGATGTCAACCGTAGTACTGTTCTGAGACAGGTTTCATTTCGTTTACGACTGATTAGAGGACTTACATGTACAATCAATCTGGTTCAATCACGACGCGTTGTGAGACAGGACCCACATGTATAGAAATACAGGTCGCGGATTAAAAAATAAAATCGACACATGAAAAATCGAGAGCTAGGTAGGTCAGCTGGTTAACAACAACAACAACAAAACTTTGAATGTGCAATTATTATATTTCATGTTGATAAATTCAAATTTGATAGACGATAGTTTGATTTTTGTGTATCAAATTGGAAGGATATTAAGAATCTATGAATACATTATAGGCCTACTGATAACGCACAATCCCTTTAAGACATCAATAGTCCTTTTAGTGTGTTTAGTGTAGAATCAGAAAACATGGATTCACTGCAACATAAGTAGATGTTATAATATTATGGGAGTGTCGTGGTCGAGTGGTTTAAGGCGCTTGACTGGAGATGTGAAGGTCGAGGGTTCGAATCCCGACACGGCACTAATATCCTTTGGCAAGATTTTTACCCGCACTTGCTACTCTCCACCCATGTGTTAAATGGGTACCCGGTAGGATGCGACCGTCATTGTTGGTCAAACAGTTTTTGAGCGTCAAGTAACGCCTGGCTGGAATGCTCCCCAGGGAGTGGAGATTGTGCACACAGTGTGTGCGGGCAAGCACTGAATCCAATGACCGGGGTAATAGTATATTTGTAAAGCGCTTAGAGACATTTGTAATAAGCGCTATATAAAAATTAAATATTATTAATATTACGTAACATCAACTACCAAACACAAGTCAACATCGTGCTGTTCGTGCAAGATTGTCCTTCGGCGATGGTTTGAATTCGGACTTTTGGGGCGACTACCCTCTGGCCTAGCAATTTCTGGCACAGTTTGAGCTAAAGAAGTAAACTTTTTGTCCGAAAGTAACACAATTGACTTAAATTCGTCATCACTTAATCATTGCTATTATTAACCTAGCAAGTGTTAGTAAGTGTGTGGTTTAACGCCCCCGTTATGTTTAAAAGTGGGTCAGCGTAATATGTATTCCTCGCACTTTCAAATTCGTGACTGGGAAAGTTAGGGATTGAGGAACTTCAAGATTGAGGAACTTCTGAACTGCAAGGAAACTTTGGGACTGGAAAACATCCGCTGAACCATTCTTTTCTCCATGTAGAGTTTGATACTTACTAATCATGAAAATAAGTCTCATTTTCGTTTCTGTAAAGTAATAGTCGCTCTTAAATTTGCGCTCTTAAAAATTCGTGAAAATGCTAATAATTGTAGATTACGTTGTACGGCTGGCATGCATGAGGGCGTTGTGCCGATCTGCCAAACGCTAGCGTGCAGTAGTGAAATATAGGGGGGGGGGGTCGCCTTCACCCCTATAAGAGTGAGAGGGTGGACGGGGAAATGGCAAGTAAATACCCCCAAAAGAGGGCTTTGAGAGACTTGCGGACGTTTGTGGGTGAACTCAGGAACATGCTCGAAACATAGTTTCACGACAGATGCCGTTGGCGTTAACGATGAAATATGAAAACTTAGATATAAACGGATGGAAGAAGGGGGGGGGGGGTCGTATGGAGGTAAATGGAAGAAACTTGCATTTGAACCTTAGGTGAATGTTGAGATACAATGCACTTCTATTGCCACCTATTTCGATCTCTCCAATTGACTTTAAAAACTTGCCAATTATTATTGAGCTATTGAAAGGAGATTCGGAAAGTGAATTGCAGATTATAGAAATATATGTTTCAGTCTAATGTCATCTTCTCTTCTATATAGAGATACATGTAAGTGTATGTTGCTAATATCAATGTAGTAATACAAAACTACACAATTTATCCTTATTATGGCATCAGTATCTACAAGATGATAATCAAAGTGAAATATGGAGAACATTATACAAAGAAAACAGTTTAACACGCTAATTCTTTCACACTTCCTTAATCCCTATACCCCCTCTGGTTCTCGCTCTTACCCCCTCTTTACTTTCACACCCTCTCTTCAAACTTAATTAAATCAGCCGGCCCTAACGAGTAACTTCCTTATTGCTCCAGCTTTTATCCGTTATAAATGATAACGTCTAAACGCACACATCATGTTCCCCTCAGTAATGAGACGACCATCTGCCGTAGCTCATTACACATGATAAAGCCAACATTGACAACCACGTGCGAAAGAGCTTTCTAATATACGGATGATACATGTAGAATCGTGTCGTTTTTTTTCTTCTCTCTTCTTCTTTTTTGTCATTTTTCATAGTAACATTAATAACTTTTGTCTCAGGAAAAGGGTTGGCAAAATTAGTACAATAGGTGTCGTAGACGAGTGGTTTAATTACGTGATTCATAATGCACAGGCCATGGGTTCGAGCCCTGGTACGTCACTTACAAAGAATACTCCTCTGATCCCTGTAGAATTTCGAAGATTAGTTTAATTGGATTGGTATGTACTCGCCCGTGGAATGCTCCTAGGGAGTGGAGAATGTACACTGTAATGTGTGGAGTGGTAACTGAATCCAGTTACCTACAGACTACATGCTTTATGCATATTGATCGTTATACATGAGTTTGAGTTTGAAGTTTATTATCCAAACAAAAGTACATCAATGCAACAATCAAATGTGAATGGTTAACATTGAAAGGATAAATGGGACCAGAAAATAGCATTTAATGTTAATCGTGTCTGGTACATGTTTAGTTTTTTTTCTTCTCTCTTCTTCTTTTTTGTCATTTTTCATAGTAACATTAATAACTTTTGTCTCAGGAAAAGGGTTGGCAAAATTAGTACAATAGGTGTCGTAGACGAGTGGTTTAATTACGTGATTCATAATGCACAGGCCATGGGTTCGAGCCCTGGTACGTCACTTACAAAGAATACTCCTCTGATCCCTGTAGAATTTCGAAGATTAGTTTAATTGGATTGGTATGTACTCGCCCGTGGAATGCTCCTAGGGAGTGGAGAATGTACACTGTAATGTGTGGAGTGGTAACTGAATCCAGTTACCTACAGACTACATGCTTTATGCATATTGATCGTTATACATGAGTTTGAGTTTGAAGTATATTATCCAAACAAAAGTACATCAATGCAACAATCAAATGTGAATGGTTAACATTGAAAGGATAAATGGGACCAGAAAATAGCATTTAATGTTAATCGTGTCTGGTACATGTTTAGTTAGTTAATTAATCAGTATTTATGCTGTTGCGATTAAACTGCTTGCTTTGTTTTGTATCGATTGCAGAACTGTTTATTGAATGAAATATACATGTATGTGACGATGTCTCAAGCCTTAGGCTTATATTGCCACACCACTGTGTGTTTCTTCAGTATTACCAGCGTGATTAATGAACATGTATTATGGTCGTAGTATAAGTCTACTGCTACTGTTTGATTATAATCATCTTGATCATACTATGTAATGTAATGAACCATGCAGAAATAAAATCAAAATAAATTAAAAAAAAAGAAGTAAATACAACAAAGTTTGTTATACATATCTGGAGGAGACTATTTTCTATTCCCACCCCAACTAGTAATAAAGACACCCTGGGCATCGATTGGAGGAGACAGTGTTTATAAACAGACCAGAAAAATGACAGTTTAATAACCGGTCTATTAACGGTAATCACTTGAGTTCCTAACGAAGTTAGAGTGTTATGTAACTAAAACGTAATTTTGGCTAGAATCTGTAGAATAAAACCTTTACTTGATGGATGGATATTTCCACAGCCACATGGAAATTAGCGAATTAATGCTGATAAATTAATTGTGAAGAAAGATAGATAGGCATGGTTTGGAAACTTTTTAATTAGCTTCCACCATCCTACTTAAAGATAAAGTTGAGTTCTGTTCATGCGAATGCATTATGAAAGAAACGTTGTGGAATCGATCAGAACAGGTTGATCATCTAGCATATTAGTATTGGTGTGTACTGCAAGGTTCTGGAATCATCAAAATGATAAAAAAAAATTGGCCCTGTCTCGGTAAAGTAACAAGCACTGGACAGAGAAAGATGTATATGGGACTACACGAGCATGTGGTATAAAAATCCGTCTCGATTTTTATGATGTTACATGCCATATTTAGAATATTAAGGCATTTGAAGAGCAATGCTTTTTAGTGAACATTTTGTATCTGATGTTCATCCACACTTTCATAATACAATGATAACGATCACAAATTATTTGTCACCTCTTCCCAGAACTCAACCTTCTCTTTAAATATAATTATGCAAACATCGCTTTGTAAATCCCCAGTACCCTTTGTGACCATGGTGACATTCAATACAAAAAAAACATAGAATCATTTGCAAATCAGGGGGGTGTTTCACAAAGATTCTGCGTCAAACTTAACTCTAAGATGGACTTAAACATTATGGAGAGCCACTTGCATCACTAAAATAAAATATATTGAAAAACAAAAATTCAAGTATTTTAGACTAATCATAAATTCCAGATCAATAACATGAAATATCTTTGATGAAAGAAAATATGAATGATGTGAATCAACATTTTATGCCTTTTAAAATAGCTTTTATAGACTATTTTTAAAGATGCTAACGGCTTTCCATAACTGTTAAGTCCAACTTTGAGATAAGTTCAACTAAGGATCTTTGTGAAACACCCCCTGGTAACGGAGAGAGTAAGCTTCTTACTTATTTCTTGAGACACTACATTAGCTGAAAAGCTTGCTTCTTCTTCCTCTTCGTCTGTCAGAAGCTTTGAATCAGAGGTAGAATTCCAGTCCCGGTTACATCTTGTGCTTGACTTAGCGAGGGGTTGTATCTGAGCTACGCAGTATAAGCAGGCTCCGTCGGTACGATCATAAACTATATCAGAGAGAGAGAGAGTGAGAGAGAGAGAGAGAGAGAGAGAGAGAGAGAGAGAGAGAGAGAGAGAGAGAGAGAGAGAGAGATGGAGAGAAATGGAGTAAGGACATAAAACTTTATTTTGAGATCTCGTACATTTGAATACTGCAATGAAATTATGAGAAATCACTTACCGAAAAGAATCAACACTTTTTATAAAGTCGTGATCTTTATTCGATTCCATTCAACATAAATAAGATTTCACTTGAATATGTGAATTATAAAATTATCATACATAAACGAAAATACGTAAATTATTTTTAAGCACGTATGCTTTAGTCAATTAATACATTGATACAAAATAAAATTTGATATTGATGATAATAACTGTCAATAATGAGAGCAAGTGAGAGAGAAAAAAAAACACGAAACAGAAACACGTTTTTATTTGCTAATTTCTCATTAATTTTACACTTTTTTATTACAAAAATGGCCGATATGTCTATTTGCACTCTTTAAATTTCAAAGTAAAAATGTTTTATCTTATTGAAATTAAATTTGTGGAAAGGGAGAGAGAGACTAAATCCCACTCACTCCCTAACATTTTATTCATTTGTAAAACCAGTTACCCACATTAGCTTGTAGGATACAAATTTCAGTTCTGAATAGCATTTTGTGAGACATACATACATATTGGTATTTATATAGCGCCTCTACATGAACATGCTCAAGGCGCTTTAATTTTGTTATTCATAAACAAACTCTACCTGGGCATAAGTGATGAATGCATGGACATTGGTAATCGTTTTGTTTTTATGAAACAGTATATCATGATAATGTTGTTATGGGTTTATATCGCTTAATACGTCGCCGATGCTTAACAGATATTATTGTTAACACTAGTTAATGATTCAAGCTTGCACGCACGCACACACACATTGTATACACATTCTCCGCTCCCTGGGAGCATTCTAGCAAGGCGCCATTAAAATGACGAAGCTCACAATGCTGAGCTTTCTACAATGAATTTCGCATCCTACCTGGTACTCATTTAACACCTCGGTTGACAGTGGCAAAATGTGGATCAATGTTTTGTTGCCAAAGGATGTCAATGCCGGTCTGTGATTGGAACCCTCAACCATTAGATTGGGAGTCAAGTGAATGAACCACTATACCACTATATCTCCACCTTCTTTTCGATATTAAAGTGTCATCATCGGTCGTTTCTTCAGTTCATTTTCAACTTGAATAAACAAAAGTACAAAAGTAGTTTCCGACTAATAAGGGTTCATATTTTCAATTTCAATTTCAATTTATTTTTCCATCTTTAAAAAAAGAACAAATAGGTATTGACACATTGTATTAAAATAATAAAATAAACATAAACATGGAGCGATACCCTTAATAAGCAGGTTGCTTGTAAGCAGGGCCCCGGTATACAATATCAAATTTACAACTTTGTTAATAGAGAAATAGAGAATTATAAACCAGCAAAATTATATAAGGAGACTGAACCTCAATCGGCCAAGGAAAAACTAATTAACCAATTCCATGAAAAATGCTATTGTCTACGGGGCCATATGAAGCAGTGTTGCGTAATGTATCTGTTCCGAGGTCCCATTCTTGATTTGTTTAAAGAGTTTTATGATATGAATATTAAAGGTAATACAAAGTTTTGGTATGGGGTCAAGAATTTGGTTCAAATGAACATATTGGAAGCATATGCGATCTTACAATATTCAGTGATCGTTGTCGCGGTTGTAATCGAGTCTCAAGTTATGAAATTGTAGCTAATAAACTCTTTATTTTGTATAGCTCCCTCTCAAGGTCAAGATATTAATCAAGCCATAAAACAATGTTTAATGACCAAAATCGACCGATTGGCTATTCCCCTTTGGAAATTACATATCACAACTACATATTCTGAGATTTTCATGGTCGCAGCTACCATTGTATGGCCGTAAGCGCTATTTGAAATTTCTCAAAATCTACCGGGAGCACCGGTAAATGTTTATATTCAATTTTCTCGAAAGCAGAAGTGTTTTAGGGGCTAAATTTTCTAGTGCTTATAATGCATCCACAGGGTCATCAAAATATATCAAAATTGTAAAGAATCACTATCCACCCAATTTTCAAAATTTCCCAAAACTTTGTATTACCTTTAAGAAGACACGTCACGGTCAACATGGGACAACATATCAGGCTTATATCACGCTTACACAAGCAAGGGGCAGACCCATGATTATCAGAAGGGGCGGCGGGGGGGGGGGGGGTTAATATGATATATATCTTGTCTTGCGGTTTGCCACGCGGCGCCTGAATAATTGATGTTGAAACATATACCTAAACCCCGTCTTAACTGGAAAATAAAAGGGACTTTTAGATTTGCGTGGACTGATACGTGTGACGTCCATTCAAGGCAGTGCATTAAAAGGACGTCGATTGTAGCAATCCCCATTGGCTTCGTGCGAATCTAAAAGTCCCTACTGTCGCGGTGTGGTCAGGACGTTGTCCGGATGACAATAGGGACTTTTAGATTCGCACGAAGACAATGGGGATTGCTACGATGGACGTCCTTTTAATGCTCTGCCTTGAATGGACGTCACACGTATCAGTCCACGCAAATCTAAAAGTCCCTATTTACCCCCTTCCAGTTAAGACGCGTCAATCGGGGTAACGTCCGGACAATATCTAAGCGACATCGAGGTAAATCTCACCCTTGCCCGACTAGGGTGAGATTTACCTCGATGTCACGTCGATTGACGTGTCTTCAAGTAACTGGAAGGGGGTAAATGTCATCCGGACAACGTCTGGACGACACCGCGACTTTATTTTCCAGTTAAGACGGGGTTTTACTTATCGTCCTAAACGTGCAAGGGCAACAATTCCGTCATTGATTAAGGCCTGTATTCTGTTAAAATAAAAACTCGATCAAAACAATTTGACGTCTACAGTAGTAAGCTGGTCAATGATATTTTAACAAACATAACTCGATTTTAAGAAGTCATTAACAAACAAATGTTTTGCTGCTTGTTCCCACCCAAGAACGCCCCTGTATCCGTTTAACACTTTTAGGGCAGGATTTATTTCTAGGGCTATTCAAATTGATCGCACATTGTTCTTCAAATTGGCAGCAATAATATTATCTTTTGTCGCTTCATTCTTGAAATGTAATGTAATGTCTCAGAAAACAAGTATGTGGGCTAGGATATTACCGAACAGTTGAACAAAATTTCAAATTTTGATCGAAAAACAATGATCTTGAATGTTTCCACTTGTTAAAACTCTTGGCATGAAACACGATACAGTCATGAAATAAAAATGTCAAATGATTGTCATGAAAGGGTGAAAACAAAACAGGAGTGATAACAGGTTAATTGTCATCACCCAGAGGACCGCAGGTTACAAGTTATGCTTCATAGACATTCCACCTGTCACTCAGGGTATACAGACTGATTGCATAATCCATTAGGTTATGTCAGACAGGAACATGTACCAAAGTAATTAGTCACTGACAGGGTATGTCAAGCATTCACGCACATAGCCAGAATAATAAAAACATTTTTCTTCTTCTCTAAGTTGCAAATTGTTAAATTTGATATTGGAAAAGTATGTTAGTGCATTCTGCTCCAATTTGAATATTATTAATGGCTAACTTAGCATTCATGTTATCATGAATTAGCTTCCTACTCACAGTACCCCCCCCCCACCCCACCCCGACAGTATGATTATTAACATGTATTTTTTACCAAAATATTACTCTTATATTAGACCATAACATTTTTTCTCTATTTTTGTTTAACTTTTTGGTGCCGTGGAGGAATGTGCTAAATATGTAATATTCCCTAATTGGGTTATGAGAAATACGGACGGGTAAGAAAAGAAATCAAGATAGAGAGAAAAGGAGAGAGAGAGAGTGAGAGAGAGAGAGAGAGAGAAAGAGAGAGAGAGAGAGAGAGAGAAGGGGGCACGAGATGATGATGGTAATGACGATGGTCGTGATAATAACATAATGATGGTGATGATATTGATGATGATGATGATAATAATAATGATGCTGCTGCTGCTGATAGTGAAAATGATGATGGTGATGATGACGATGATGATGTTGATGATGATAATAATAATGGTGATGATGATAAAAGTGATGGTGATTTTGATAATGATAATGATGATGGTGATAATGACGATGATATTGATAATGAATATGACGTTAATGATGGGGATGATGATTGGTTGTAGTAACGGGGAAAAGGAGGAGGAGGAGGAGGATGAGGAGGAGGAGGAGGAGGAGGATGAGGAGGAGGAGGAGGAGGAGGATGAGGAGGAGGAGGAGGAGGAGGAGGAGGAGGAGGATGAGGAGGAGGAGGAGGAGGATGATGGGAGAAGGAGGAGGAGGGGGAGGAGGAGGAGGAGGAGGAGGAGGAAAAGGATGAGGAGGAGGAGGAGGAGTAGGAGTAGGAGGAGATCTGATCAGAAACATGTGATTACAAAATAAAAATGATAATGATGATGGTGATAATGACGATGATATTGATAATGAATATGACGTTAATGATGGGGATGATGATGGTTGTCGTAACGGGGAAAAGGAGGAGGAGGAGGAGGAGGAGGAGGAGGAGGAGTAGTAGGAGGAGGAGGGGGAGGAGGAGAAGGAGAGGAGGAGGAGGAGGAGGAGGAGGAGGAGGAGGAGGAGTAGTAGGAGGAGGAGGATGAGGAGGAGGAGGAGGAGGAGTAGTAGGAGGAGGAGGAGGATGAGGAGGAGGAGGAGGAGAAAGAGGAGGAGGAGGAGGAGGAGGAGGAGGATGGGAGAAGGAGGAGGAGGGGGAGGAGGAGGAGGAGGAGGAGGAGGAGGAGGAGGAGGAGGAGGAGGAGGAGGAGGAAAAGGATGAGGAGGAGGAGGAGGAGGAGGAGGAAAAGGATGAGGAGGAGGAGGAGGAGGAGGAGGAGGAGTAGGAGGAGATCTGATCAGAAACATGTGATTACAAAATAAAAAAGTAAATCCTACCTTCATCCTTTTTGCCCGCTTCCCTTCCATTGGGTACTCGGATCTTCGTCTCCAACATGACCGGCGGCGGCACGAAACTCGTCGACAAGTTCAGTTGCTGATATCAGTCTAATCTACGCTGTCGAACAGGTTGAAGTCATCGACTGTTTTTCATGGATGCTGCCAATTAAGATTGACATAAAAAATATACATATCATAATGAACAATATCATAAATGAATCGACAATCACACAATCTGTGAATTTACATGCTACATTATTATGCAGACTAAATCTCAAACATTGGGATTCGACATTGTATGATTACTATAGTAAAATAAGTTGTTATTTTGGTTTAATAATTTCGATCCTGAACAATCGCGACTATATCTGTTTACAGTCCGCCCAAAGATATTCAATCGTTATTGCTTATCATTATAAGTGTGATTAATTAAATCGCTAGCTCTCAAAAGATGAAGAGATTAATGAATTGCCTTTGTTTAAAAAATTACAATGATTATTGATGCGGTACATGTGTGATGAAGCAAACTGCATTGTGAATGAAGATAATGATTTGGCTTCTTGCCAAACATACACGATTATCCATTTCATATCTCTCTTTATATCTTAGTTGCTTACAGCCTCTCCGTTCTTCCTTTTCTAGAAAATCCAGATCCACAATTTGTTTAATTGTGCGTGTTGGGGAGCAGGGGAGGGGGGGGGGGGGGAGAGGTTCTCAAAAATACTAAATCAAGTGATAGAGTATTGTTGTGCACTTAACATGCTTAAAGATAGGGTCTCATGGAAGACCACCATTATTGGTGACAATGAGTCACCCTGTCTATTAAAATATCAAAAATAAATAAATAAATAAATAACAACAAAATTACATTGAATGGTCAAGATTACAAATAAATTACATGTGCCAAACGATTTTGGTAGAAAATGTAAATGGGCTGAGTAATGAGCATAGAAAGATAAGAAAATCAATGTAAGTAGGCCTGACACCATGTGCTTAACACAGGTCACTAAGTGCATATGAGAGTAGTGGTTTTTATTGAAGATGATTTCCAGCAAGTTTTTGTGAGGTTGTTTTTATTTACTGGTTCAAACAATCAATATACTGCAGGATAAGCAATCCAGAATGAATTATAGCCATGTTCTCTCGACATACGATTCCAATACCACAGCTCAAGATTGACGATAAGCTATGCACAGTTCGGTTGTGCCCTCCCCTACAAAATGGAAAGCCATTAGCATCCGTGAAAATATTTTTTGTTAAAGTTATTTTAAAATTTGGAATTTATGAAAAGTCTAAAATACTTGAAGTTTTGCTTTTGAATATATTTCATTGTAAGGCTTCAAATGGCTCTCCATGATATCTAAGTCCAACTTAGAGTTAAGTTCGACTTAGAATCTTTGTGAAACATCCCCCCCCCCTAGTTTCGGGCGAAGCATAACATCATTCTATTATCTTTCGGGCCATTTTTTTAATGAAAATTATAAATTTTTTCTCCTCAGTCACGTCAATAAATTCCGACAATCTAATTATTATTTCCCACGTAGTCCATGATTAGAAACACACTAATTTACATCATCCTGCTTAAGGTTTTGTCCCCAGCCGGTCAATGTACTTTTAGGCGGATGTAATATGGTCTCATTTTCGTCGGAAAACTATTTAAAAAATGTCACGGATTGTGCCCAGAGTTAAAAACATACAATAAGTCAAATCTCATTAAATTGATTTCGAACTTTATTAATCATAATGAATTTTCAATACACACTGCATTTGTTTTTGTTTGTTTGTGTGTGTTGGGGGGGGGGGAGGGAGGGGGTCGTTTGTTTGTTTTTGTTTGTGGTTTTAATAATATTAACTTGAGGAAAAGTTTACGGTTATGGACGGGTTATCAAGGGTCGGTTCGGGGAATGGGCGCTGTCAATAACCCGAGTGAAAGATAATTAGAATAATTCGATTTAAATTAATTAGTGATTGGAATAATTCAATGATTGAAATAATTCAACGATAAAATAATTGATTAAGAATACAATGAGGGAATGTAACCGAGGGACAATCGGCAATTGAAATTAAAAACTTTAAAAATGTACTCATGTTGGAACGTCCAAGTGATATTTTCATCGAACTTGCTTCGGAAGTTATGGACTATTTGTCTAGTAGCAAGGTTCTCGTATTATTGTTATAGTCCTATAGCATTTTGCTTATTTAACTCAAGACCAGTACAAATATCGAAGCTACAATGAAATAGATACATTTTCTTTTCTCCGATACCGTACCGAATAATGTTTGGAAGGGACGTGCATAAGCCCTTAATCTCCCGCAGTGGATTAAGTCTAGCACCTCCCGAATATCCGATGATTAATAATTCCCCGCATTGAATCGTTCAAAGATACTTCGTTTTTTTAATTGAAGTATAACTTAAGCGATTCATAAGATTTCCATTCATAATTGTTCTATTTGAAGGCCTGAATGTATATTTGAATTCGCCCCCTTTCTCCTTTTCTCCCCCCTCTCTCTCTCTCTCTCTCTCTCTCTCTCTCTCTCTCTCTCTCTCTCTTTTCTCTCTCTCTCTCTCTTTTTTCTCTCTCTCTCTTTTTTTTTTTTATCTCCGCTCTCTCTATTTTATATTTTATCTGTCTATCTGTTTCTATGTCTTTCGATTGTTTTTGATAAACTAATTCTATATTCTGAATTGCAAAACAATCATCATTGAAATCCGATTCAGGCATATTGAAAATGAAGACCCTAGGGAAACCCATTATATAGAGCTGGCATGCAAAAGGCGCTTAATCCATTTTCACCCGATTGCATGTGTCTCTATACACATGAAGATCGAAATCATGCAATTTTCACCTCAAAAATGTTGCAGAATTATGTTTTCTTTCACAATGCGCTAAATCCAGTACACATTTCATGCAAAAGGTGCTGTTTCAATTTTATCTCTATTCTTTGTTCTGATTGGGCCAAGAACCCCAGCTTCCAGTGCCTTGGCTTGACCAATCAGAAAACAGAACAGAGATATAATAAAATCTCTTGCCTGACAGCGTGTACTACATAAAGGGTAAACCTGTAAGCATACATTTTAAATTTCAAATATATTTTTGAAATATAACTTGTGTACATGAAGATTACTTCCCCTTAAAAAGGTACATTTCTTTCACCGTTTCCCCACCCTCCACATTTCTCACATGCACTATCAGGGTAATGCCGATATCACCAGTATCGATGACTGACTCGAACAGGTGATATAAAAATTGAATAAATATATCTCTTTCTAATCTCAGGGTTATTTTTCATCATGATATAAACCTCTTTGCACTATCACATGCATGACGCACCGATTTTCCACCTTTAAAAAATCAGACAACTAAATTGGGTTAATGATTATAAACATTATTGGAATCATTATCTGTCACAGTATGACTGGGCGATGTTTCCTGTCAAAATTTGAATTTGTTTGATAACATTTCAGTCGAAATGTGATTTTCTATTGAGAGCCTAACATCGGAAGATAAACACATGGCTTCAACACTGTGTACCCCTCAATATAGCTGCATGACGCCTATTGGAGTGTCGTGGTAGAGTGGTTCATTCGCTTGACTCTCAATCCAAGAGCTTGGGGTTCGAATCCCAATCTGCAGCACTGATGTCCTTTGGCAAGACATTAACCCACATTAACCACTCTTCAACCAGGTGTAAATGAGTAAACGGCAATTGCTGGGTATGAATAATTGCAGGGCCCCAGGAAGAATAGATTGAAAGTGATGACGCTTTCCTGAGTAAGCAAAACTCATTATCATTATGTAACAAAGTGGTGCACCAGATTGTGAAACAGCTGGAAAATGACACTTTTCCATGACAAATTTAGCCATGGGCAAAGAAAGTGAGGTAAAAAAAAAACCTCTCTAACTGTCATTAATATTGTGATGACCGCTGTGCGAAAGGGCCTAATGTATTTTCTTCATTTTTATTAATTTCTTTTTTTACAAGAAAACGATTTATATGGCATAATGCATCAAGTAATTATGAATGTGTGCATTTCTCATCATAATAAACGAGTACATACCATATGAATAGTTGTATAAGAGGGATGAAATGGCAATGTTGGGTTTCAAGAATGAGTCGTTTGCGGAAATGTTAATCAAGTCTTGAGTAAAGATTTTGGCGAGTGAAAAAGAAATCATGCTTAGCTAAATGCTGCACTTTAATTTATAAATGACATTCAATGTGCAAGGTATGGTGACTTGTAATATCACTGAAAAAGAAAAACAGATATCTTCTTGGAATACAATATTTGGAGCACTGTGGTTTATTGGTAAAGGCTCTTGTCTCTCATACGATAGGTTCCGGGTTCGATCCTCGCTTGTTGCTTACATCCTTAGACAAGGTGTTTTGCCCACAATAAATTTGTTCATCTCGACACAGACGTCAAATGGTAGGCCTACATGTATCTGGCAATACCGGTGGAATAGTAATGACAGGGTCCGCAGAATATAGTAATTATATTATTAATAACTAGTACTTTACTGCAATAATCTAATCCAAATAATTCCCCTGTTGAAAACTGTAAGTTCAAGTTCACTGTATTTAGTAATTGCGATCGTTATCAAAGTAGTTCCATTCAGAGCCGTGCACGGGATCGAGGCCTGCTTTACAAGGTAACCATGTCTATTATTTCGGAAATTAGTACTCTGTTTGGGCCTCATTAAGAATTATATAAACAAAAAACATGTCATTGGAATTATCATCTATAAATGGATGACTAATTACGTAGTTCGTATTGTGCCCCATCACATGCTGGAATCAGACAAGAGTACAAGTGTTACGTCAAACTTAGTTTCGGTTACAGACGTCTTGTTTTTCGTCTGTCCAAAATGATTCATGAAGCATGCAGGTAATATTGGTGAAGTTGTATAATGTCGTTTGAAAAGAATCGATTAAGAGTTAAAGTTTTGAGCTGATCAAAAGTGATCTAAAGTTACTTTTTTTGTAACTTGTTCTTAATTTAATATTGATAAATTGTTTAAATATTCCTTCCGTCGAATTACTTGTATTCGTTTGATAAAACCCCATTTATTGTTTTAACCAAGTTTGTTGCTCACTCAAAGAAAAATACAAAAGCCTAGTTATTTAGATTCCAATACACTGTTCCTATACCACGAAAATGTCGACGCTTCAATTTGGGTGAGCAAAAATTGTATTAAGTTTATTTTCAATTCTTAAAAAAATGTGTTAATTTGTATCATTTGCTTCACACGTACCAACATAATCATATTTAAAACTACTGATATGGTATCTAAATTAACTACTTTGTGAATGGAAATAGAAAACATTCTGTGATATAATAATAATAACATATTGAAATAAATGAACTTGACAAGTCATGTTGACAATTTCCATGATTTGTTTCACAGATGGCAATGAGTTGCGTATAGAATTATTCCATATGTTATCCATTATGAGCATTGATGTAATTTTAGCTATTCAAAGGTGAGATACAAAATTGAAGAAATTGTTTTGGTAAGAGGCTACGGTGTTTCAGGGAGATTTGCTTTAAATCCTCGATCAATTAAAAATTAATGGAGGGGTTAGCATTTTGATTAATTACAAGCGCTCAGTAATTCATGTACGTAAGCACGCTGTCCAAAATTAGAATATGTTGAACCCTATCTAAAGTACACTCGCTTGTACACTATTTGGCGAGTATAGTAAAGTGTTAGATTGCACATTGTCTTTATATAGAAAATATAATAGTAATGGTGATAATAACATAAAAAGGTGAGGTTAAAGTCATGGTATTTTGATGATAAAGCATTTGCTGTAGTTATAAACATGAAGGCAATTTGATTTTTCAACATATCATAGCATACAAAATTAAGATTTATAGTTACTCCACGATTAAATATAGAAACATCAATTTGGTGATCTTTTTTCTTAACCATAAACTATGATAAATACGTTTAACAATTTATGTAAAATTGTAGGCAACAAAAGCACTAAGCCGCTTTTAATAAAATAGGTAAATAAGACCAACTTGTTTGATTGGAGGGGGGGGGGGGGGGTAAGGTGCATTTATTTAAGATATTTCATTCTTTCATGTAATGCGTAGAATGTTTGAAATAATTTGAAATAACCACAACATGCAATATTGTTATAAATGGGTTTAATTTTAAGGAGGTATCGATCTTAAGTTCTAGGCTAGACCCCGTTTTATAAAGAGTTGAGCTTTAATCCAAATCAATCGCATATTCTCCAGTCAAACGCAAGTTTGCAGTCTCAACGGCAAATAAGTTGCGATTAATATCAACTCTTTATTAAGACGGGGCCCTGATCTTCAAAATATTATATACAGATGTAATTCACTTTATTGTGTCATATATTAGCATTACATCTGGCAGACTAGATGGGTATAGCTTCCTACGATCATCCTTGAACCAAAAATCGAAACATGTTGTATGTCCTCTTTTTATCAAAAACACATGTTTATAAGTCATGGGTCATTTTCGACAACATAAACCAGGGTGAATTTGAAAATAGTTTCAGGAAATGGCGATATTTTGTGAGTCATGCTTCCTAGCTGATCACTGAAAATATGAATGGAAATAACTGAAGGGTTTTAAAATAGCACAGAGGGATCACAGCACAAAGAAAGAAAAGAGACAGCTTACTTTTTAGCTCGTTTAGGTGCCGTGTTGGATTACTATATCGGAAGTGATTTTTGATGTTTAGATCATGCCTCACCGTTAAAGGCCTATATGTATGTGTATTGTAGTTTGGAAACATACCATGTGGATTTGAAATTAAATCATAATTTATACAACATCCTTTCACTATCAATATGACTTTTCGAGATTAATAAGAAGCCTTACATTAACAGCGTCTTCTATCTGCGTTTTATGCTTCTTCTTTTTCTTCTTTGTCGTCGTCTCCTTCTTCTTCTTCTCCCCCTTTTTTAAGTTGGTGGGGGGGGGGAGGAGGGGGGGGGGGGGTAATGCTCACGAATGCCGTATCCCTTCGTTCGCTCATTTCCCCTATGACCCTCATAGATTCATGATGTAATTATATGACAAAGACAATTTCAGTAAGCAGTCAGGTTAAGCTCTTATGTTGCACTATAGTATATGGGGGAGGAAATGATATCCCCATTTTGGGGGTTTGTTTGTTGTTTGTTTGCTTGCTTGCTTTTAAAAGAAGGCATCTGATGAAAATCAGCCTGTTATTTTTTACAAGGAACATTAGAGTCGGTTGAAGTTAATTTTCCAGGGTTTGAAGTTCTACACCTTTTTGTGGGGGGGGGGGGGGCGTTGACCCATTTGCCCCCATCAAGAACGATGTTTGGTTTTGTCAACTAAAAAAACAACCAAGATCAAGAATACAAGTATGTAACGTATTCTAAGAGACACATTTTTTTTTTAATTAGAAGAATAGAGGATAGATGGGGCAAAAGTACCCCCTTCCAAATGACATCAGTAGTATTCCAGTAATTCAACAAGGCAAATTAAGTATACAAAACGATAAAACTTACCAAATTATGGACGTACATACTCTTAATTCTATGTGGCCATCATGAAATGTTTCCCTCTTAATTATTCCTTTGCACCCAAAGACAATCAACTCCAAGCATGTCACCAATATAGAAAGTGATGTACACTGCTACGCAAAAATATAAACCGTGTAAGCGTTGTGACAAAAATTAAAGATTGATCCGTTCACCCGTGGAAGTGCCCCTCTTGGGTACAAGAAGGGGATAGGAATGCATAGCCTACATAGTGAATTACAGCGATGCCATAGCTAGATTACGTCATCCGTGTGGAGGGAATGACTTCCCCCGTTTTGCTAATGATTATCATGGGGATCTCACACAGCTGGGACGTGTGAGGGAGATAGTTTCACATAATCTTAACTGTAAATTTTGCATAGTTTAAAGGTAATAGAAAGTTTTGGTATTGCGTCATGAATTTGGTTCAAACGAACATATTGGAAGCATATGCGATCATACAATATACGTTGTCGCGGTTGAAATCGAGTCTAAAGTGATGAAATTGTAAATAATAAACTCTTTATGTTGTATTGCGCCCTCTTAAGACTGATATTACTTAAGCTTTAAAACAATGTTACTTGAATACAATCGACCGATTTGCTATTCCCGTTTGAAAATTATATATCAGAACTGCATATTCTGAGATTTTCATGATCGCAGCTACCATGGAATGGCCTTAGGCGCTACTTGAAATATTTGAAATTTACCGGGAGCACCGGTAAATTTTAGAATATTAAATTTCTCGAAAGCAGAGGTGTTTTAGGGGTTAAATTTTCTAGGGCTTATAATGCATTCACAGGGGCATCCAAATATATCAAAATTTTAAAGAATTACTATCCATCCGATTTTCGGAATTTCCCAAAACTTTGCATTACCTTTAAACCAGGAGGCCGGGAGGGGGGGGGGGGGGGGGTGGGCAAGTATTATTCAACGTACTCGTGACACGCCGATAGACACTCTCCTATAGCATCCTGAAGTAGGATTTCACGTGCTCAAAAGCTACCGTTAACTAGGATTTAGTCTCTTCGTTCAGTATGTAATATATAACTTATAATGAACTTTCAGATGCAGCAATATACAATATTACCAGACAATATGAGAAGTTTGATAGCAACTGAACTATATTTTATAATCAATCTGAGCAATGGCATTTTTCGTTGCATAATACCTGCCTTGACATTCTCTTCATAATTATGATATTTAAAAGCCGAACGAGTTACAAACAAAATCACATCAAATCAACTACAAACTAAAGGACAAACCAAACATGTATACCTAAAACGGTATTATCAGTCTAAGATATGCTAACAGAAAATCCGATTAGTGTTCGATACCCTACCCCCTCTTTTGACATCCCTGTAGACTGAAATTCCCGTAACCAGGGGATATCATTTATTTATTTAAAAAAAAAAAGGGGGGGGGGGTTTGATTGAACACTAACTTAACAATGGGCACATAACTCTCAAAATATAAAACCCACTTTACATTGATCCGCATAAATGAAAAAGTGAAAAAGGACTTACTCGCCATGGGGTAGCGTTGGTCAAGTTATTTCAAGGGCACTGGCATTATGGGGGCGAGGGCCGGTCTTACCTGGTAAATGAGATGCAAATCAACAAAAAATACTAATAACGGGGTGCTTTGAGGCTTAGCATATTCATTCCTCTCCTCCCCCTCCCATCTCATCCTTTTCTTTAATTCGCTAATGGATCGGGGGGGGGGGGGTGCCCCATTGCCCCCCCCCCCCGTTCGCCGTAATTACGCCACTGCTTTACGATTTTGTTGAGAAATGTTGCTAATTAGTTTGTTGCAGGGAACACGGTGGAATGGCTTGATAAGCATACGCCACTTTCCCCATTCAACAGGGGTGTAGGCCTATTTTGATGGAAATTTGAGTCGGAGGTAAATGGGACGTTGTCTGTCACGCATTGTCGCATTTCTGTCGTCGATGTGTATTTTTCGCTTCATCATGAGCATGGATAAAAATAGTCTATAGTTCAGACAATATGAAATCAGGGACTAAAATAATTATGAAGGTTTGATAGTTTGTGAAATTAGAAGACTGCTAAGAACTACGAATTGAAGCATTAATGTTCAAGTCGTTGATATAATTTCTATTATATGAAGGTCCATACAACTGAATAATTTAGCTGCGTTTCCTTGAATAATTATCGTTTGTTCTGTGACTAAAACTATTGATTATATAATGGCGTATTTCTGAATGATTTAAAATTGCCATTTCGCTGCCATGATATCGCAGTGCGCAAGTCTCTTCGTAACTAGCTAGCCCACGGAGGAATACCTATAGTTGCAGCGGAGATGGGGTGGGGTGGGGGAGGGGGAGGGGGCGCCACCCCACCTGCTGAGGGTAAACAGGGTAAACACAAGATAAAAGGGGGTTAACCTACCCTCTTGTATAACTAATGTTCCCAGGCAGGGGTGTCAGGTGTGTCAGGGTTTATTCTAGAGAAAGGGGTGACATTGTTAGAACAATTTCTCTGCAAATCAAGAAATTGTGATCTTTTTTAAAGCTCATAATATTTTTGGAAATCTGTCTATCGGCAAATTTAAAAATCTTACAAACTGGGTACTATGAGGAACATTTTTCATTTTGCTTCATGGCGGTTTTGTTAAATATTTATATTTTTCGACTTTTTAAAGTCATTATTCCTATCATGAGAATGAAGGTAATTGAGTTTTTAATATGTAGGCCTAGGCTTTTGGCCAACATATTTCTCATTTTCCATTCTAAAGGTCAAGGTCAAAGATCAGTCCTCCTAATCGGCCCCTGGATTATAAACAATGAAGATGAGTATTATAGGAAATGAGTTTGATTTGATTGATTGATTTGATATTTATTCATTCCACATACATCAACATAATTACATTTACAATCTTATAACTTTAGATGAATGATGAAGACAGGGCATATCCCCATAAAGGAGCTTAAGTCATATTAATAGAGCTTTAATATAGCTCTATTATAATAGAGCTTTAGTCATATTAAATGAAAAGAAAGTTCAGTTAGAATCACTAAGAAAAGAAAAAATGGAAGGAATAAAGATGAGGTCTAAAATTAAATGGATGGAATATGGCGAGAAACCATCAAAATATTTTTTGAATTTAGAAAAAAGAAATGCTGTGAATAAACGTATATGCAAATTGGTCACTACTGAAAACAAGGAGATAACATCGCATGATGATATTATATCAGAAGTTGTATTATTTTACTCTAAATTGTATAAAAATAATCCTGTTGTTGATGTAGACTTAAATACAATATTAAATGATCCAGATATAAGTAAATTAACCGCTTCAATGTCACAGAAGCTCGAAGGAGAACTCTCTATTGATGAAGTTCATCAAGCACTTATAAATATGAAAAATAATAAATCACCTGGTCTCGATGGATACACCGTCGAATTTTTCAAACATTTTTGGAAAGAATTACACATATTTTTAGTGAGATATTTGAACTCTGCATATTCATCCGGAATGTCCTATACACAGAAGTTAGAAGTCATCACTTTAATTTCCAAAGGAAAAAAAGATAGACATTATTTGACAAATTGGAGACCCATATCTTTATTGAACGTGGTGTACATGTATAAATTAGGTTCCTCTTGTATAGCAAACAGATTAAAGAACGTACTTCCTTTTCTTATACATGAAAACCAGAAAGGCTTTATGTCAGGGCGCTTCATTGGAGAGAATATCCGTTTGTTATATGATTTATTATTGTATACTGATATCAATGACATTCCTGGTTTATTGCTGCTTATAGATTTTGAAAAAGCATTTGATTCTATTTCTCATGATTTTATTAGAAAAGTATTGCACTTTTTTAAGTTTGGTCCCTCTATTGTAAAATGGGTTAATGTATTCTATGAAAATGCTCAATCCTGTGTATTAATCATCAATGGACACCTGTCTCCAAGATTTTCAATAGAGCGAGGTTGTCGTCAAAGAGATCCCATGTCAGCTTTTATTTTTCTATTATGCGCCGAAATACTAGGTCTCTTGTTTAGAAATTCCGATTCCATTGTTGGTTTGAGCTTACCTGGTAGACAACTTAAAATAATTCAATATGCAGATGATACTCTTCTAACATTGAATGGGTCAGTAATGGAATTAAACAGTGCATTAAACATTTTAGATAAATATAATGCAATGTCTGGTTTAAAAGTTAATATACAGAAGACACATGCGATTTGGATTGGAGGATTTAAAAACAAGAAAGATGGCGTTCTTTTGAATAGAAATCTAAATTGGGTGTTTGATGATTATTTCAGATATTTAGGTATAGACTTTTGTACGGATTTGCCCAAATTAATAATTCACAATTATAATGAAAAATTTAAAGAAATAAAAAGTCAAATGACATCGTGGTTGAGACGATACTTAACTGTTCTTGGAAGAATAACTGTCGTCAAGTCATTGTTGGTATCCAAATTAAACTACCCTTTTTTGTCCCTCCCTAATCCTGGTGAAAATCTTTTGAAAGATATAAATGCTCACTTTTATAGATTTATATGGGGGGAGAAACCTGATAAAATAAGTAGAAATCAAATGTCACAAAGTTACTTAGACGGAGGGGTTAAAATGATATAGATATATACACACATTGCCAATCATTAAAAATTTCCTGGATTAAGAGATTAGTAATTGGCTCAATAAATAGCAATATCCTCTGTCTTTTGCAATATTTCTTGCCTGAACGGCAAGATTTAAAATTATATATGGGAAACAATTATTTTCGGGAACTGGCAGGTAAAACAAAGAACCTTTTTGGAAAGGAATGTTCATGGTTTATAGTACGCTCTTGTCCATGCATCATGATAACATTTCTTGCCAACCCTTATGGAATAATGATTACATTAAAATAGGCAATAGCTCAATATATAATAAAAAATTGTGTCAAAAGGGAGTTCGTTTTGTTAACGATATTTTAGACACAAATGGTGATTTTTTCTCTCTGGAACACTTTCAAGAAAAGTATAATATTCAAATAAATTTTCTTTTTTATCGTGGATTATGCGATGCAATTAGACAAGGGCTTAACAATTGTACTATTTTTAACAAGGTGCCACAACCTCTTTTCCCAGATACAATGGCATTTGTTATGAAACGTATTAAAGGATG